TCACCAGGGAAGTGGGAGTGGGGCACACTCAGAGGGCTGATGCAGCCGCACAGTGCCCAGCAAGTGGCAGCAGTTGGCAAAGTATCCTTAGCAGCGGCTCCTGGAACGATGGCTGGATGTGCACATGTCCACCTTGCCACACCCGTACCCTGCCCTACAAGTGGGCAGTTTATTTTCTTTTTTAGATGTTTATCTATTATTTGCAAGGCAGAGTGACAGGAGGAGATCCTCTGTCTGCTGGTTCATTCCCCCAGATGGCTACAATAACCAGGGACCTAGAGTGTGACTTAGAGCCAGGAGCCAGGCGCTCCATCCAGGCCTCCCATGTGGGCGGCAGGGACTCAAGTACTTGAGCCGCCACCTACTACTTCCCGGGCATGTTAGTGGGGAGCTAGGTTGGAAGTGGAGTGGGCAGGATTTGAACCTGCATGCCACTGGGGGGACATGCACATCCCAAGCAACAACATAACATGCTGTACCCCAACACCCGCTCCTCCTGTTTCTTCTAGAAAGCTTTTACAGGGGCCAGTATTGTGGCACAGTGGATTAAGCTACTGCCTGTGATGTTGGGATCCCACATGAGGGCCAGTTTGAATCCTGGCTGCTCTGCTTCCAGTCCAGCTCCCTGCTGATCACCTAGCAAGGCGGCAGAAGACGGCCCAGTTCTTGGGTTCCTGACATGGGCCTGGGTGGAGCTGCAGGCTCCTGGCTTCAAGCCTGGCTGGCCCTGGCTGGCCCTGGCTGTTTGGGCCTTTATGGATGAACCAGCAGATCGAAGATCTTTCTCGCTGTCACTCTGCCTTTCAATTAAATAAATCTTTCTTTAAAAAAATTCTAAATTGACTTTATTCAAAACCCCAAATAAACAGACCAGACAACTCTGCAGCCTGAGGGCACTGCAGTCTGTAGTCCAGAAAGACCGAGACCGCCCCTCGCCAAGTGGCACAGTCACAAGGAAGCATTTTATGGGCATTGGAGATTCTCAGCACTGAGCCACAGCCTTGCTCCCAGCAAGCTTTCAGTGTTTCAGAGTAGCCGGAGAAACTGTAGACATCTAGGACACAGGAGGGCCTGGCTCTGCGCCCACACCTCTGTCTGGGTCTTTTTTTTTTTTTTATATCTTTATGGATTTTATTTTTTTTTTTAAGATTTTATTTATGAGAGGCAGAGTTACAGATAGAGAGGGAGAGACAAACGATCTTCCATCTGCTAGTTACTCCCCAAATGGCCACAATGGCCGGAGCTGCACTGATCCGAAGCCAGGAGCTTCTTCTGGGTCTCCCACGTGGGTGCAGGGGCCCAAGGACTTGGGCCATCCTCTGCTGCTTTCCCGGGCACCTCAACTGGTGTCCCATATGGGATCCTGGCACTGCAGGCAGTGGCTTTAACCACTCGCTACACCACGGCACCGGGATGTGTGTGTCTTAACTGGCAGGCCGTATGTCTCCTCCCCTGCGGAGTGGTGGGGAAGTGATTAGGCCTTTCCCCCATGGTGGCCCTCAGTGGAGGACAGGCAAGAGAAGGACTTCAGATGCCAGGGGCTTGTGTTTGCCCACTTAAATTCTGGCCAGGCGTACTGCTTGTTGAGAGCAGCGAACAGGGGGAAAAGGGTCAGGTGCTCAGGCTTCCTGACGGTCAGTGATGCCGCCCTCAGCTGTGCAGACACTGTCCCTGAACTCTTGTCGCCTGCCCTCATGGTGTCACTTACCTTTCTATGAAGAGATTACACCTGGCCCATGCCAGCCCCGGGCACTCAGCAGTGTGTTTGGACTCCATGTCCCCTGTTTGGTCCGGTCTCTGGCATCACCACCCTGCTCCTCAGGGTTGGCATTCCCCACGTGGAGAAGAGGGCATTCGAGAAGAAGGGAATGTGGTACACAGAAGGTATGAAAGTGCTGAAGAAGGGCTGGCGCTGTGGCATAGCGGGTAAAGCCGCCGCCTGCAGTTCTAGCATCCCTTATGGGTGGCATTTTGAGTCCTGGCTGTTCCACTTCTGATCCAGCTCTCTGCTGTGGCCTGGGAAAGCAGTAGAAGATGGCCCAGGTTCTTGGGCCCCTGTGCCTGCGTGGGAGACTCAGAAGAAGCTCCTGGCTCTTGGCTTCGGATTGGTGCAGTCCCAGCCGTTGCGGCCAGTTGGGGAGTGAACCAGTGGGTGGAAGACCTCTCTCTCTCTCTCTGCCTTTCCTTCTCTCTCTGTGACTTTCAAATAAATAAATAAATCTTAAAAAAAAAAAAAAAAAAAAGTGCTGAAGAAGAGAGCAGGGCCCAACCCTGAGTCTGGCCCTGATCCTGTGTATCAGAAGACAAATGGCAGTTTCCTGGAGCAGGAATGGCACCCCTGGCATTTTGAAGACTGATACCCATTGGAGAGGCCAGACTGGAGAGCTGAGAAGCTAGCAACTACTGGGACACCCAGGGATGGGTGATGAGGGCGGGACTCGAGGCACTAGAGTCTTGCGTTGGAGTGTCTGGGGTTGTGTCCTGGCTCTGGCTGCGCTTCCTGCTTTCTGCTAATGCACAAAAGGGGTGGTGGGGGGGGGGTGGCGCAGCTAATGGCTCCAGGACTATGGCCCCTGCCACCCATGAAGAACTGGATGGAGTTCTTGGCTCTTGGTTTTAGCCTGGCCCTGCCCCAGCTGTTGTAGGTATTAAATCTTTTAAAAGTAAATACAAGGATAAAGTCAAGTGAAAATAGATCCCAGTAAAATATTAAGAGTGGGAATAAGAGAGTAAGGAGCTGTAAAGTTCTGCATACATTCCTATGGACATACTTCTAAGGGTACAGCTACTCCAAAGCCCATTAAGCTGGGTGGTAATAATGCCATCTTAAGTGTTAAAGGGATCATATAAATAAGACCAAGTGTCTTGTAATAACAATACGTAGAATTTAAAAGGAGAGTGTTCCAACATGGGAAGCAACCCACACAGTGCTCAGGATGACAGTCACTATAAATAGCACTCTGACCTCAGAATCAGCCCTTAAGGCATTCTTGTTTGACTGAAAAGCCCAGAACATTTCAGGCATGGAAAACTGGCAAAAAAAAAAAAAAAAAAAAAGTCATACATGAAGGATCTCTGAGTAAGACCCCAGTGGAAAGAAGTGACCCTCAAAGAAGGATGTACTTTTCTCTGAAGGGAGGAGGGAACTTTCACTTTGCTTACGGCTTTGTCTAAATACTGCTGGAGATTGTGGATTCAAAAGGCTTCATAGCCTTGGCAGCTCATGTCAAGAGCTTAAGGTGATCACTGATGTCATACATAAGAGTGTTAGTTGTTAAATTAACAGGAGTCACTATGTATTTACTTCCCATGCAGGACCTCTGTCCTCAGCAGGTTGTATTATGAAAGTTAACTGTAAAATTTGTTCTCAGTTTTTATATTTTGTGTGTATGTGTGCAAATTGTTGAAATCTTTACTTAGTAGAGAGTTGTTTTTCTGTGTGTAAAGTTAATTGGAAACGAATCTTTAATAGAGAATGGGACTGGGCGTGGGAGGAGTAGGTAGGGTAGGAGGGTAGGTATGGTGGGAAGAATTCTGTATTCCTAAATATAGATTATGTACTTAGGAAATTTGTACTCATTAAATAAAAGTTTTCTTAAAAAGAAAAATGTAAATACAGGGGCTGGTGCCTGCAGTGCCAGCATCCCACATGGGCGCTGGTCTAGTCCTGGCTGCTCCTCTTTCAGTCCAGCTCTCTGCTGTGGCCTGGGAAAGCACTGGAAGATGGCCTAAGTACTTGGGCCCCTGCACTCACGTGATAGACCCAGAAGAAGCTCCGACCAAAGTGAACCAGCTGATGGAAGACCTCTCTCTTGCTCTCTGCTTCTCTGTAAATCTGCCTTTCAAATAAATTTTTAAATTTAAATAAATTTTTAAAAAAGCAAATACATAGATAAAGAAACCCTAGGTATATTAGCGGGCAGGGTACTGGGTGTGTCCTGACACCACACCTGCCTTGCTTTGTGGTGTACCACTTAACAGTGAGGACTCTCGCCCCCGCACATGCAGCCTGGGAGCTTGGTCTAAACAGCCAGATGGGAACGGGGTCAAGGCTAGTGGCAGTGTTTAGGAAGCTGACTTAAGAATAGTGGCTGAACACATCTTTAGTTGGAGGCAGCTAATCTCAGTGCTGCTCAGAAACAATGCTCTTTCGGTTTAAAAAAATTACTTGTTTTATTTATGTGAAAGACATAGCGGCAGAGAGAGTTCTTCTAGCCACTGGTTCATTCTCTAGAAGCCTGCAACACACAAGGCTGAGTCAGGCCAAAGCCAGGGGCCTGGATCTCCAAGTCAGCCTCCCACGTGGGTGGCAGGGACACAGGGACTTGAGCCATCAGCATCTGCCTCCCAGGATCACATCAGCAGGAAGCTGGATCGGAGTCTGAGCAGCTGGGCCTCAGACCAGGCACTCCCACGTGAGCTGTGGGTGGGTGTCCCACGTGGCAGCTTCACGCCTGCGCCACAGAGCCTGCCCCGTCCACCAAGAGCCCCTTGCTGCCTCCATGGCGGCTCTGTTTGGCCTTCAGTATGACTCCTTGGGAGTGCGGCACGGCAGCTCAGCCCCACACCCAGCCCGGCAGCAGGTCCCGCCTTCTGCAGTAGATGAACATCTCTCACCAACTGCCTCTGTTAATGTAGCCTGAACCACCCACCTGCTTGCCTGCTTCCAGACTTGTCCCCAGAGGTCACTTCTAGTCACCCCTCTAAGCTCCAGCCACAAAAGCCTTTCTCCTCCAAGTTGCTCCTGCCTCTTCCTCCCTCCTAAGCCGCCGCTCTCCCTGTGGCCTCACGGTAAGAGCAGAATCGAGACTCCTTCCCGGAGTCCCCCTCCCTTTCCTGGGCCAAAGCACAGTTGCGGTTTTCTCTGTGACTTCCTATTCAACTCCCACGTCCCAGGTCTGTTGCTGGCCGCTGTGTTCTGGAGCTGGAAACACATAGCCAGGGCTTCGCGCCTGATTTGGATGGAGTGAACTGACCGCCATCTCTCCCACTCATTCCAGATATGTAACTGGTTCATCAACGCCCGGCGGCGGCTTCTCCCAGACATGCTTCGGAAAGATGGCAAAGACCCCAACCAGTTCACCATCTCTCGCCGTGGAGGGAAGACCTCCGACGTGGCCCTCCCGCGGGGCAGCAGCCCCTCTGTGCTGGCTGTGTCCGTGCCAGCCCCTGCCAATGTGCTCTCCTTGTCCGTGTGCTCCGTGCCTCTCCATTCAGGCCAGGGGGAGAAGCCAGCAGCCCCCTTCCCGCAGGGGGAGCTGGAGCCCCCCAAGTCCCTAGTGGCCCCCGGCAGCACGCTCACCCTGCTGACCAGGGCTGAGGCCGGGAGCCCCACAGGGGGACTGTTCAACACGCCGCCGCCCACGCCCCCAGAGCAGGACAAGGAGGACTTCAGCGGCTTCCAGCTGCTGGTGGAGGTGGCGCTGCAGCGGGCTGCCGAGATGGAGCTCCAGAAGCAGCAGGGCCCGGCCCCCCCGTTGCTGCACACCCCCATCCCGCTAGTCTCTGAGAACCCCAAGTAGGCACCTGCAGCAGGGGGCTGGCCTGGGGTGCCGTCTGCTTCCCTTCCACACAGAGGGTTCTCTCTGGATCACTGCCACACGTCGGGACCATCTCCTCTGCCCAGAGGGGTTCCGCAGGAGGGCGCCAGCAGGCGTCCCTGCCCTGGGCGGGGCCCTCTCCTCTGCGGACTCCTCCCCGTGGTGAGACCAAGAGACCAGAGACAGGCATGGTGCTGCTGCTGCTGCTCCAGAGAACCCCTGGAACACACGTGTTCAACCTGGCTTCCTGGGCTGGGCTCCAGGAACCTGCCAGGTTGAGGCCTGGGCTGGGTCCAAGCCGCCCCTGAGCCGTGCTGCTTCTGTCAAACCAGGTGTGGACATGCCAAGTTCACAGGCGTGAGCAGAGGAGAGGCACCCAGCAGATGGAACAGAACCGACTCCAGTTGAATGTTCAGTTCTTCGCTAAGCTGTTTATCCTTCCTTTTTGCTGTGGTTCGCGTCAGGGGAGTAGGTAGCCCGGGCGTAGGACTTAGAGTGCCTTGGTGATGGAGTCTTGTGAGCCCGGGGTGACCCAGCACCCTGCCTGGGGGCGCCCTACGAGGAGGGAGTCTTTGCATTTTCGGGACCATGTTGATCTCTGCAGCAGTGGGAAGTTCCAAATGGTTGACTTGGTTTGGGTTACCAAAAAGAAATCTTCAGGGTGCCTGTTCTGCTGCATCAGGCACAGCAGGGGGTGGAGCCACCCCAAGTTAGAGTCCACCAGAATCGCCCTAAACCTCCCTGGGCACAGAAGGGAGAAGCGTGTTTGAACCAGAGAGGCGTTTGGTGTTTTGTGTTTGTTTTGACTGTGTTTGGGGGTGGGGTGGGGAAAGTAAGCATAGACTAAGACAGTGAGTTTTTTTCTCTAACATTCCCCTTCTTTGTTCTTGAACACTCTGCCCTGCAGCCTGAGTTTTGAATTCCTTTAGGAACGTGGATTAGGGAGGCTGCGATGGAAATCCCCAGCGCCTGCTACTTGGAGAGAAGGGAGCCACCTAGTGGCCAGCTGCGGCCGGGCTCTTTCCTGGGTGGTGGGCCAGCGGGCAGCAGTGCTTGGGCTGCAGCCCGCCGCGGCCTGGGTCTGTTGCACCTTTCTTTAGTGTTGCAGGGCCCCCCACGCGAGCTCCCCTCTTCTGCGCTGTGCCACTGCTGACAGTCTGCAACAGCAGCAGACCCCGTCTTCCATCATGGACCCTAAGAAACACTAACTTAGGTTATTAGCCGAGATGTTTTTGTTCTGAAGAACGCTGTTCTCTGAAACTCCCGGGTCAGGCACAAGGGGGACTTCAGGAGGTTCCTGGGTGAGCTTGACTGGGACAAAGGCAGCAGCATGTGTTCTGTCCCCTTTTGGGGTGACCTCCCCCATGATGGCCTGGCCCATCCATTGCTTCCTGAGTAGAATCGCTGACTTAAGGAGCAGGAATTCTGCTCTCTGTTTGGCCTCTCTGACCTCTTCCTCCTGAGCCCTCTGTGTGTGTGCCCCAGGGGGGTCAGGGATTCTCATCACCCAGCCGTGTGCGCAAGCCCGGCTTTGGATGACCCTTGAGGACGCCTGTGGTGGGGGGTGCTGGGCCCCCCCACCCAGGGCTTCCCCTCCCACGGTGCACTGAGTGGTGGAAGGGCAAGGGGGTGGAGCCATGCTGCTGAATTCTGGTTGGCATCCCCCCTTGAAGATGGGGTGTCTGGGGTGGGGCAGCCCCTGCTTGGGTTTGGTTGCAAGATAAACCTGGAGGAGAAGCACAGTGGTCCCGTTGAATTATTTGAGCAAAGAACTACTGTAAATAATTTTTGTTTTTGTCTTTTGTCAAATAAAGTTGTTTTTGTTTTTGTAAAACAGAAACAGGGCTCTTAATTGACATGGGGTGGCTCTGGGACCGGCCCTGTTCTCAGCTCTTAGGCTGCCCCACCTGCCTGCGTCCCTGGTGACCCCACCGCCCGCTCTGAATCTCACTGACCACAGTGCCCAGCCCCAGGGGACATAGGCAGCCCAAGCCGCGCCAGGCTTTCCTGGAATCAGGAGTGACGCTTGGGGGCCGGGGAAGAGCGCAGCTGCACACCAGCAGAGTGGGCGCTGCAGTGTGAAGCCAGTACAGCCCCCTCTGCCTGCGCGAGGCAGGCGGTGTGTCCTCACCGGGTCAGAGTGACAGCAGAGCAACTGTAGCCCAAGCTCTGGCAGCCGGGGCCTCGTGCTGGGGTGGACAGCAGGGTTTGGCCACGTGCCTGCGGCCTGCAGGGTTCCATAGCTCTTCATTTCCCGCACCTCCGTGAGACCTGGCCCCAGGGAAGGACCTGGATTCACACGGGCCAGTGTAAGAAGGGAGCCAGCATCTGAACGCAGGCCTGTGTAGCTTCCAGGTCACGATGGGCTGTCTGCCCAGACCCTCCTGGAGCTGCTGATGGGCAGTTGACCCCCTGCCAACACGGCTGCCCAGCAGTGGGTGGTGGGGGCCGAGCCCCGCCCCATCTTCTCTGTGACCCCTCAGGGTTTGCAGAGGGCGCCTCCCCACATGAGTCCCTTGGGTTAAACAGCCCCAGCACCAGGTTCTAGTCTCCCTCCTGGCTTCCTGGCTGGCGAGTGCTGGAAGGGTGTGCTCTGTGGACTCCCCTCGGAAGGGGCGGCGCTTGGTGGCTCAGCCTCCCGAGGAGCGCTGCCTGCTCACAGATGTTTTTTGAAGAACTGAAACCAAAACTGTTTTCTGCATGAGTTAAGTTGGCAAGCGCTGGAATGAGCAAGCACTCTGGGTAACGGAAGTTGACAGATGATGTGGCCAGGGCCCCGCTGAAGCCAGAACACAGTCCACCTATCCTGTAGTAGCCTCAATGGCCTCGTTTAGGACACGCCTTTGATTTGCTTATTTGAGGAAACAAATGTTGGTTGGTAAGACATTGAGCAAAAAGTGTCTAGCACCCAGCCAGAGCTCACTAAGTGCTAGCGGAATGGTGTGTTGTAGGCCAAAAAAAAAAAAAAAACCCAGACCACAAAGCCACACCCCTATTTCACCAGACGCTCAGTGGTGCGGGTTCCCCCACCTCCCTCGGTCTCCCCTTCCTCTCCACCCCCCTCCCGGTGCAGGCGGCTGGCTGGCTGGCTGGCTGGGGAGCGGCCTCGGCCGGCCTCGGCAGATGGTGTCGGTTCAGCCAGCCTCTAGAAGGCATCTGTCCTACTTCAATCTCTTCACTTCATCAGCTTTTCCATCTCAGACCACCCACGATGTTCACTGTCACCAGGATTCGGGGCCTCAGCCAGTTCCCCCCACTCCCTGAAAACAGGGCGACAAGGAACACGGCTGAGTCCCACGAATACCTGTGGGCAGGGCTGCCGCCCTGGCTTTGTCTGCTCCTGGAAAGCTGAGGAGACGCCCACGTCCGGCTTCCGGGCCTCCAGAGCCTCCAACTTGCTCTGCAACTTGGGGGCAGTGCAGGAGCTGAGGACCCTTGCGACCTCCCTCAGCCACAGGTAGGGCGAGACCCTCGCGACAGGGGCCGCATGGTGGCACAGCAGGTTAAGCCAGCACTGGGGACTGCAGCACTCTGGAGCTGGTGCCGGCTGGAACCTTCTCTTCCCAGCCAGCCCCCTGCTCACGTGCCTGGGGGACAACAGAAGACGGCCCCACACTTGGGTCCCGCCGCTCCCGAGGGAGACGCTGATGGAGCTCTTGACTCCTCGCTTCTGCCTGCCATCCGGGAGTGAACCAGCACATGCAGGATGTGTCCCCTCCCTCGTCTCTCTTCCAAATAAATAAATCTTTTAAAAAGAGAAAAAATGAAAACACAACTTCTCACTCCCCAGATGGCCAGAATGAGCAGGGCTAGGCCAGGTCGAAGCCAGGAGCTTCCTCTGGGTCTACCCTGTGGGTGCAGGAACGCAAGTGCTTGGGCATCTTCCACTGCTCTCCCAGGCCACAGCAGGGAGCTGGATCAGAAGTGGAGCCGCCGGGATGTGAACCGGAGCCCATGTGAGATGCTGGCACTGCAAGAGGTGGCTTCACCTGCTACTCCATAGTGCGGGGTCCCGTGGGTTTTGTTTGTTTGTTTTGTTTCTTTCCTAAGTAAAGCTACCTGAGTTCAAAGATAATGTGTTTTTTTATTTAGAAAACCGTAAAGATTCCACAGAACTATCAGAAATAATAAATTCAGCAAGGTTATCAGTCACAAAATCAGCATGCAAAAATCAATTGCTAACACTAACAGTGGGAGATCTGAAAAGGTTAAATAATTTCACTTACAATAGCAGTGAAAAGAATAACATACTTGGGAACTGACTAAGGCGGAAAACGACTTGTAAACCGAAAACAATTCAAAAGTTAGACACAAATGGAGGACACCCAGTGTCTATGGATTAGAAGACTAACGATGGGGGCACTACCTCAAGCTGGTGCCACCCCTGCTATCCTTTACCAAAATCCCAACAATGACTTTTTTGTTTCAGAAAAATTCATCTAACATTTATATAGATGCAGGGGACCCTGAGTAAGCCCAAGCCGTCCTGAAAGAACAGATTTAGAGGACTCAGACTTCCAGGAAACCCACCGCACAGGAGGAAGATGAGGAAGAAGACGAGGACACGTAGGTTGGTTCTAGCACAGGTTCTATACTTGTCTATAAAGCATTTAACCCCCGGTACACAACTTCTTTTTTTTTTTTTTGTAGTATTTATTTGAAAGGTAGAGTCACAGGAGAGACAGAAAGGTCATCCGCTGGTTCACTCCCCAGATGGCCGCAACTGAGCTGATCCAAAGCCAGGAGCTTCTTCCGGGTCTCCCAGGTGGGTACAGGGGCCCAAGCACTTGGGCCATCATCCTCCACTGCTTTCCCAGGCCATTAGCAGAGAGCTAGATGGGAAGAGGAGCAGCCAACACTAGAACCGGCGCCTATATGAGAAGCCAGTGCAGGTGGGGGCTTACTACACTATGTCATGATGCCAACCCTGTAAGATTTGTTTGGAAAAAAAAAATTACAAGCTACAGTAATCAAAACAGTATGGTGCTGGTGCTAGCATAAAGAGACATACAGGGGCCGGTGCTGTGTCACAGTCGGTTAAAGCCCTGGCCTGCTGCGCTGGCATACCACATGGGTGCTGATTCAAGTCCCCACTGTTGAACTTCTGATCCAGCTCCCTGCTAATGCTCCTAGGAAAGCAGTGGAAGATGGCCCAACTGCTTGGGCCCCTGCACCTACATGGGAGACCCAGAAGAAGCTCCTGGCTTTGGCCTGACCCAGCCCCAGTTATTGTGACCATTTAGGGAGTGGACCAGCAAATGAAAGACCTCTTTCTCTCTCTCTCTCTGCCTCTGCCTCTCTGTAACTCTGCCTTTCAAATAAATAAATAAATAAATCCTTTGGAAAAAAAATGAAGTTGGAGCCACCATGTGGAGAGCAGGAGGCGTAGGAGACAGAAGGGACAGGGAGCACCCCTGTGAGTAGACAGACAAGCAAGCTGGTCCTCAGGACCCCTGGGCCCAGAGGCTGCCACCCCAGCCTGACCTGACTTGGATCCTGCGCTCAGCCGATACAGATCTTCAGGGGAGCCCACCACTGTGGCCTCTGAAGACATCTCCATGCTAACAGAGATCCTGGCCAAAACCCAGGAGGCCGAGAGCAGTAACTGTCAAGGGCAAGAGACTCAAACTCAACACTGCAAAAGATGCCAAAGATGTGATTAAAGAAATTGAAAACTTGAGGGCTTGCAGGCTGTGTGTCTGGAATGCCACACCGTGGGTGTAGAAGCAGCCAGGGTCACAGCCAAGGCCTTAGGTAAGAAGTTGCAGTTGAAGAAAACTACCAGACTGGACACAGTGAGCAGAGTTGGGGGAGACCAAACTGTTGGCCAAGCGTGACACACAGCCAGGTTATGTGACATTTCCCTGATAATTTCTTAAATTAGCAAACTCTTAAGTAACTTCCTGTAAGTGGAAATCCAGCATCCCTTAAAACAAAGGCAGTAAAATATTAAACAAAAAAAAAAAATGAAGTTGGATGCTTACCTAACATTATGCATACAAATTAAGTCAAAACCAATCAAAGATCTAAATTTGAAAGCTAAAACTATGAAACTTTCAGAAGAAAATACAGAGGGAAAACTTGATGACATTGGATTTGGCAAGAATTTCTTGGCTATGACACCAAAGGCACAAGCAATAAAAGAAAAAATAGAGAAGTTAGACTTCGGGGCCAGTGCTGTGGCATAGCAGGTGAAGCCACCACCTGGGACACTGGCATCCCATAGGTCACCAGTTTGACCCAGCTGCTCCACTTCTGATCCAGCTCCCTGCTGATGGCCTTGGGGAAGCAGCAGAACATGGCCCATGTGCTTGGGCACCTGCACCCACATGGGAGACCGGGAAGAAGATCCTGGCTCCTGGTTTCAGCCTGGCCCCAGCCCTGTGTGTTACAGCTATATGGGGAGTGAAGCGGCAAATGGAAGATCTCTCTCTCTCTAAAAAATTTAAAATTTGTACATCAAAGGGCAGCATCAATAGAGGACAAAGGCAACCCACCAAGTGGGAGAGAAATCTACAAACTGTGTATGACAAAAGGATAATATCCAGCATAGGCAACTCTGCAACAAACAGCCAGACACAAAAATGGGCGAAGGCGTGAACTGACATTTCCCCCATATGGAGATGGCAATAAGCACACGGTGGCTGTTTGTCGCTCGTCAGGGAGATGCACACCCAAGCCCTCAGCATGGACTACCAGAAGACAACAGGTGTCAGAACCCTGGGCACCACGGCTGGGAAGGTAAATGGTGGAGCTGCCATGGCAAACAGTGTGGCTGTTCCTGAAAAAATTACAAATGCAGGGACAATATGACCCCGCAATTCCACTTCTGGGTACAAATCCAAAGGAACCAAAAGCCAGGACACAGCACACCTGTACACCCACATTCAAGGCAGCATTATTCAGAACAGACAAAAAGTAGACGCAACAAACACAGCCCCCAAAGATAGATGAATGCATAGGCCAAACGTGGTCTGTACACGCCGACACATCAGAGTATGACGGGGCCTTCCCCACGAAAGCTCCAACATGCTACAGCACGCGTGACCTTGATGACACGCTAGGAGAAAAACCAGTCACAAGGGACAAATGCCTCACGATGTAGCCAGGCCACTGCAGAGAAAGAAACAGGAGCTCTTGTGCAGCAGGTTGTTGGAACACACGGAAGTCCCCATGAAGAGGTTGACTGTGTAAGTTCTACACTGTTGTCTGTGACACCGGGGCCGGCCCTGGTGGCCGGTACGTTCTCTGCTGGGGAACTGCTGGGCTGGTGGCCACCACTGTGCAAACCCTCTCTAAAAGCCAGCTCGTAGCTGTTTATCGGGCCGTTGCTGTTGCTGGCACACTGACTGAATAACCAATCTCCCAGCGACCTAGGGCTCCATGAGTGCTCTTCCAGCCCCGGCCCTCGCAGCCCCACTCGGATCTGACACAGGCACTCACCTGGGTACTCCATGGAAGAGTACCGAGAAGGGACGACGGTGACGGCTGCACGGCAGAGGGGACATCCTGGGCGTGGTGTTGTGACACGGCAGGTCAAGTCACTGCTTGCAGAGCTGGCGCCACATACCCAAGCCCAGGTTCCAGGCCCGGCCGCTCTGCTTTCTACCAGCTCTGCTAACGGACCTGAGTGTTTGGACCCCCGCCACCCACAGAAGGAACTCCTGCCTTCCGCTGGGGCCATTTGGGGAGTGAGCCAGCAGATGGAGCATCTTTAAAGAAAAAAAAAATATTTTAAAAATGCCTTATTTTAAAATTTGTGTTTTTATTTAATTCAAAAGGTAAACGGGGAGAGAGAGAGAGCAAGCAAGCACACTTCCACCAACTGGTTTGCCCCCAAATGCCTACAAAAGCCAAGACTGTACCAGGCCAGGGCCAGGAGCCTGGAGCTCAGGCCAAGTCTCTGCCATGAGTGGCAGGGACCCAAGTCCTTGGGCCACCACCTGCTGCTCCAAGGGTGTGCATTAGTAGGACGCACGCCCAGGCACTCTGAGGTGGGCTGCAGAAGGCCCAGGTGGCATGACCGTCTGAACTGTCGCACCCAGAGCTTGCTCACAGAGCACTCGTTCTGGGATGCAAACCTGATTCCCTTTCCCTAACCCTCCTACCTGCGGCTTCATTTCTTACCATGAACCCACAAAGCTTCATCTCCCTAAAAATTCACTTCCCTCTTCCTCTGGAACTGTCTTCCCCCACCCCCACCGCGGCAGTCTTCACTCAGAGCCTCAGCAAAGCAAACACTTACTTGCAGCTTTGGGCTAGGGTTCTTCCAGCATCCCGCGGTGGCGCGACCGCTGTGTCTGCAGAGCTGTGGCATCCGCCAACCTGTGACAGAGGTTTTATACCCGCGGATGCTCCCATACCAGGCGCCACCGCTGCACGTGGCTGGGCAGGTGTGTGGGATCTGGTCAGAAAAGCTGCAGGGCTGCAAACAAGACCCACGTGGAAGCTGGACTGCAAGTATCTGGCTCTTCCACCGCGTCCAGATGGACGAGTGTGTGTTACAGGGACCTCACCTGCGGGCCCGGCTGCACTTCATCTACTCAGACTGTGGGGGTGGAGCTAAGGGGTGGGACACTTCCCCAGGGGACTCCTGCACACTGAGTGAGCCGGTGACTGTAGGCAGGAATGCAGAGCCCCTGCTCCCAGGGACAACTCCGATTTATCAAGCCGAGGAAAGCCAACTCTTCCCACCTGCGTGACAGCAAAGGCGCGCAGCAGACAGACTCGACTGCTGGTTCACTCCTCCATTGCCCATGACACTGGGGACTGTGCAGTGCCGAAGCCCGGAGCTGAGAGCTAGGAACTCAATCCAGGTCTCCCACACAGGGCGCAGGAACCCAATTACTCACGCCATCCTCACTGCCTGCCGGGGTCTGCACTGACAGGAAGCTACCATCAGGAGCTGGGGCCTGAATCAAGCCAGGTACATGGAGCATGGCCACCTGACCTGCCCCAAAGGAGGTGCTGACCTTGTCGATGTCTTTAAAACTTGAAGCTTAAGAGGTAAGAGAGGGGCCGGCGCTGTGGCATAGCGGGGAAAGCCACCCCCTGCAGTGCAGGCATCCCATATGGGCACCGGTTCGAGTCCTGGCTGCTCCACTTCCAATCCAGCTTCCTGCTAATGCACCTGGGAAAGCAGTGGAAGATGGCCCAAGTGCTTGGGCCCCTGCATCTACATGGGAGACCTGGAAGAAGCTCCTGGCTCCTGGCTTCAGATCTGCGCAGCTCCAGCCGTTGTGGCCATCTGGGGAGTGAACCAGAAGATGGAAGACCTCTCTCTCTGCCTATCCTTCTCTATAACTCTGATTTTCAGATAAATAAATCTTTTTTTTTCTTTTTTTAAATTTTTTTGACAGGCAGAGTGGACAGTGAGAGAGACAGAGAGAAAGGTCTTCCTTTTGCCGTTGGTTCACCCTCCAATGGCCGCCACGGCTGGCACGCTGCGGCTGGCACACCGTGCTGATCCGATGGCAGGAGCCAGGTACTTATCCTGGTCTCCCATGCGGGTACAGGGCCCAAGCACTTGGGCCATCCTCCACTGCACTCCCGGGCCACAGCAGAGAGCTGGCCTGGAAGAGGGGCAACTGGGACAGAATCCGGCGCCCTGACCGGGACTAGAACCCGGTGTGCCAGCGCCCCTAGGCGGAGGATTAGCCTATTGAGCCGTGGCGCCGGCCTAAATAAATCTTTAAAAAAAAAAAAAAAATTTAAGAGAGGAGGTGTCAGTTGGCACAGGGCCCGGGTGGGGGGGGGCCTGCATTGTGGAGGAATGTTTAAGCCACTGCCAGCAATGCCAGCATCCCATGTTAGCACTGGTTCATATCCCGGACACTCCACTTCTGATCCAGCTCCCTGCTAAAGTGCCTGTAAAGACAGTGGATGATGGCCCAAGTGCCTGGGCCCCTGTCTCCCATGTGGGAGACCCAGATGGCCTCAGCCTGGACCAGCCCTGGCCATTGCAGCCGTTTGGGGAGTGGATGGAAGTTTCTTCTCTCTCTGTGTCACTTTGCCTTTCAAATAAATAACTAAATAATTTTCTAAGTGCCATTTTGGACACTTGCATCCCATATCGGAGTGCTCTGCTTCCAACTCCAGCCTCCTGGCAATGCACACCCTGGGACGCAGAAGGGACTCTCAGGTTCCTGGGTCCCTGCCACCTACGTGGCAGACTGGCACTGAGCACGGCTCTGGCTTCCGCCTGGCCCAGCCCCAACTGTTGTGGGCATTTGGGGAATGAAGCAGCAGATGGAAGACAAGATCTCTCTTTCTCTCCCTCTCTCCTTTCAAACAAATAAACATTAAGATGTTTAAAAGAGCCAATGTTCAAAGGCTTTAACAGCTAAGAATAATCAAGAAGCATTCTTAAAAAACAAACAAACAAACAACAACAACAACAAAAAAACAGCGACGTGCCTTGGGTCTCTCAAGACAGCACCGTGCCCACGGCTGCACCCGGGAGTTGTTAAAACACGGACGCGGGTCGCGTCCCCAGCTCAGGGCCGCAGGTGACCCGGTAGCCGCACGTCCAGAAGCGCCCGTGACCCGCAGCCGCACATGCCTAAGGAGGGGCGTGCTCTCGCCCCTGCCCGCCCCAGCTTGCCCCCCAGGGTCCCCTCTGGGGGTCTCGGGCTCCCGGCTGCCAGGACCAGGGCGCTGGGCAGACGAGGCGCTAACCGTCAGAGGCAACGCCTCGGACTAGGTGCTACAGGCGCCGCTGGGTCAGGGCAGAAAACAATCAGGCTTCAATCTTGCGGGGCGACCTGGGGCTCCCAGGGCGCAAGGTGTGGCGTCGTCGCGCGAGTAAACCGCAAAGCCGCCTCCACCCGGCTGCTCCCGGGAACAAGCTGTGCCTGACTGGGCGACGCTCACGTCCAGCCTCCCCTTTCTCCGCGGACACTGGTCCTCCATCGGTGCAGCGCCTCCTCGCGCTCGGCGTCGCCATCCCGCCCAAGATTGTCCCTTTCCTCTCACCGTACCGGCATGCCTGGCGGAAGCTTACCGTCACTTCCACTACGTGTAGTGGGCATGCGCCGAGAGGCGGTGGCGCCCGCCCTCGGGTGGCTGCGTGGCCGCCGATTGGCTGCGTGGGCACGTCGACGGGAGGACGCGCAGCGCAGCCTGTCCCTCCTTCCGCGGCGATTGCTCGGGGCAGCGAGCGGAGCCCTGCAGCTTGGCCGAGTGGGAGGAACTGTAGCGGCGCCGCAGGACCGAACCACTGAGCCTGCTGCCGTCCCGCGTGTCGTGACCCGCGACCCCCGATCCCGACTCCCTTCGGGTTGGCCCGCGCGCCCCAGGCCCAGCCCGGGCGGCGCGACGGGAGGATGAGCGGCGGGCGGCGGAAGGAGGAGCCGCCGCAGCCGCAGCTGGCCAACGGGGCCCTCAAAGTATCTGTCTGGAGCAAGGTGCTGCGGAGCGACGCGGCCTGGGAGGACAAGGTGCGGTGGGACGGGCCGGGGCGCAGGCTGGGACTCGGGGTCGGGCGGACGGGCCTGGGCCTGCCCCCGGCCTCTGTCCGGGCGGGACTCGGTAGGGTGTTGGGACCTCTGGTTCCAGGTGTCAGGGCGAAGTTAGCGGGCCCGCAGCTGGCACCCCTGCTTGCCTAAGGGGGAATCCGCTGGACACGAGGCCGGGGACTGAGGACTCGTCACTCGCGGGCAGAGCGGGGGGCCAAGTGGCACGAGTGGGCCGAATTCGGTTCGGCCCTCGCCTTGTAGTCCCAGTGGGAGCTTGTGTCAGTTACTTGTGTTCCCCAGATTACGGCCTAACGCAGGCCTGAGCCCAGACAGCAGCCTGGTCGGTACCGGGGCCCGTGGCGAGGCTGGCTGGGGGTGAGCTGCCATGGCGAGTGGGGCTGCGTGCAGCAGGTGGGGTCTCAGGTCTGGTCACCTGACTGGGGCCGCACCCCAGTTCTGCTCCGTGCTCTGGAAGGCGCTGCCCCAGGCAGCACGGAGAGAATATTTGCCATCTTTCCTTGGTTTTTCCTGCACCGCTGAAAGGGATCTCCCTTCCTGGAGTTCCTGGAGGGGGGAAGGGAGGTGCTTCCTGAAGGTGCCCTTGTCTGCCCCCGGCCCTGCCCAGTTCTTGCAAAACTTGCAGGCTGTGGCCGATCTGCTGTGTCATTTCTTTCTCTGCGAGCGTAAGGCCTGGTTTCTGGAATCTAGGGCGGTTCAGAAACCCGAGTCTCCCGTGCCCTGCGCAGTGTAGATAAGGCTGCCCCTGCCTCCAGCACTTCTGTCTCCAGGCCGGCTCTCCTGAGTGACTTACCGAAGGGTGGTGCCAGGAGCGCTCTGTCGGGGGCACCGTCTCGGTCTCCCCTGCTCGGCCGAGCTGTAGCCCTGTGGCCAGCAGCACGGTTAACTGTCAGCCGTGTCACTGCCAGCCATTTCGCTTTCGAAAAAGTAAGTGGCATCTCTGAAATGTTGGCAGGGGTCCCTGAAGGTGTTAAGCGGGTTGTTGGACAGGGAAGGGTGCTTGGGGAAGAAGCCCTGGAGGGCGGCTTCCTGCCCCGGCCCGCCCTGGCTCACCCCCGCTCACCCGGCTGTGTCCGTGCCTCCCCTCCCGCAGGATGAGTTTCTGGATGTGATCTACTGGTCCCGCCAGGTCATCGCCGTGGTCCTGGGCGTCGTGTGGGGAGTGCTGCCACTGCGGGGCTTCCTGGGAATCGCGGGGTAAGTCTGGGCTGGCTTGCATTTTTTGTGGTTTCCTTTCTTATTCCACAGACGTTTGTTTTCCTTTTATGGAAAAGCCATTGCTGCTTTGGAGCTGTGTGTGTGAGGGAAGAGGTGGCCCGCATGGATGGTGGCTGTCGTGGGTCTGGTCCAGGCAGGCTACCTCCTGAAGGCCGGGCCAGTCCCTCCGTCCCTGGCTTTGGAGGGACCTGAAAGAGGACGCTGTGTGGCTTGCTAGTGGCACGCACGTGCTTACGGGAGTCGCGGCAGAATGGCGTCCGTAGCTGGTGACCATCTCCTTTGCCTGGCTCCGTGCTGGACGACCGAATCTTGGCTTTGGCTGAAGTTGTGTCAGGTCCCTGCATTTTAAAGCAGCCAAAAAGTAGGGGGCTGGGTCCTCCACGTTTGACTTCGCTCGTGTGGCAGTTGGCATCACGGTTGGCACCAGCCCCTGGTCGTGGCTCGGTTCCAGTCCTGCCCGTGAGCCCCGTACCCGCCAGATGGGCCGGAGTTGTCTTGGGACCTGCGGGCAAGCTATGGGAGCGGTGGATGTGCCTTGTCCTTTCACAAGGGAGCGCAGACGGCCACCTTCCCCTGGAGAACCACCTGGCTCTTCCGAGGCTGCGCACACCTCCCGGTGTCCCTTACCTTAGGGCCAGAGGAGTGAAAGAGTGCAAGCGTTTGAGTTGCCTTCTTTCTCAGGGGATAACAAAAAATGCGGACCGGTTTCCCCGTTACCCGGGGGATGGATCACAGGCGCCCCGCCCCCCCCCCCCCCCGCAGCTGCTGGTGGCACTGGACAGCCTCCCTGTGCCAGCTCCGTGCTTAAAGCTCGCTGTGAGTTAGACGTTGGCACAGTGAGAACTAATAACTAAGAAAGCAGGGCCGCTCTGACAGCTGCTGTAAGGTGCGAGCGCGGCCTTTCTCCGTGTCTTCGTGGACTCCCCTCATTCCGGTGACAGCATGAGACAGCTCACAGGCAGCCCTCTGCCGCTCCTCCGTGCATGGCACGGCCGGCGTCACTTTCCTGTACCTCGCGCCGTGACTAAGTGAGCCCTGCGACACTCGGCCGAGCTGGTCGCCCAGCCAGCTCCTGGTATAGCAGTCAGCTTTTTGTCACTCTGACGTGTACCTGAGACAAGGTGGTTCATTGTCACTCACCGTTTTGCAGGTTCACAGTTCAAAACTGGGTGGCCGCCGCGTTGGCCTGGTGTCTGAGGGTGGAGATGGGAGAACGTGTGTACAGCAGGGCGACCGGGAAGCAGGTGGTCCGACATCCTCCTGCCCCTCCCCCTCGCCCACCTCCTAGACACGAGCGCGTCCTGGCTCTGTCTCTCCCAGTCGTGCCCCTGTGGGGTCAGGCCTTTGGGAATGCTGAACTAGTAGCCACCCCACAGTGTGAGTAGCATGCAGGTGGCCAGCACAGCGCAGAGGTGCTGGACAAAGGGGTGGGGTGCTGCTCCCTGCAGGACCAAGTGGGACAGTGCGGGATCCTGGGTGCTCCTTAGAACGAGAGTGGGGTCCCGGGCTCCCTTACCTTAGGGCCAGAGGGGTGAAAGTGCAAGCGTTTGAGTTGTCTTCTTTCTCAGGGGATAACAAAAAGTGTGGACCAGTTTCCCCGTTACCCGGGGGATGGATCACAGCCTCCCCTCGCACACTCGCAGCAGCCCGGGCCCTCCTTAGAACGAGTGCAGGGCTGGCGCTGCGGCTCACTAGGCTAATCCTCCGCCTGCGGCGCCGGCACACCGGGTTCTAGTCCCGGTCGGGGCGCCGGATTCTGTCCCAGTTGCCCCTCTTCCAGGCCAGCTCTCTGCTGTGGCCAGGGAGTGCAGTGGAGGATGGCCCAGGTGCTTGGGCCCTGCACCCCATGGGAGACCAGGAGAGACACCTGGCTCCTGGCTTCGGATCAGCACGGCGCGTAAGCCTCAGCGCCCCGGCTGTAGTGGCCATTTGGGGGGGTGAACTAATGGAAGGAAGACCTCTCTCTCTCTCTCACTCTCACTGTCCGCTCTGCCTGTCCAAAAACAAACAAACAAACAAAAAAACACGAGTGTGGGGTCCCGGGCCCTCCTGAAACGGACGCTGCAGTTACTTCTGGAACTCCCCTTCAGCATCTTCAGGCCCCGGGTACTGACACCACGGGAAGTGAAGCAGGATGAGGGGGGCTGTAGCACAGCCCCTCCTGACTGCAAAGGTGTTTTGCTTTGTGACACTGAGCAAGGCCTTTGTGCAAGGGCGCGTGAGTGTCTGCTGCATCTGCCCTTGGCAGCAGTCGCCTGGAGACCGAGAGCGAGGAGCGCAGGACTGAGGCGGCATGGGTACATCCTCGGAGTGCTGGTCCGTCCCCAGCCTGCCTTTCGGCTGCCCAGGAGAGAAACTGCAGGCAGGAGGGTGCCGGGGAAGGGCACCCCGAGGCCCCTTGGTTCAGGAGAACAGTGCTAATTCAGCCCTGGCACCCCTCTGGTCTTGTGGATTCCTAAGGGGTTTCTCTGAGAGTAACATAGCAAGGGCTGGAGCTAGCTCGGTGCCCACACATCATAGACAGCCCCGGATTCCACATCTGGAATCTACATAACGGGGGGCTGTCTGAAACTCAGCTTCCTGCTCTGCTGAGTGGGTCTGTAAGCATGACTGACAGGTGAAGGACATGAGACAGACGGTGTGGGTCAGTTGCTGAGTGGCGTGCTTGGTCTCTGCCCCAGTCCCGCCTGGCTGTTGAGGAAACAGGAAGGGGGAGAGTGCACGTGGAGGGGCGCACGTGGCGGGCTCACCCTCAGCACACAGCGCTGCCTGCTTTCTGGGATTCAGCCCCACTGTCCTGCCAGAGCCAGGGTTTCCTGCTGCAGACGAGTCCTGAGCGCCTGGGCGGGGCCTCTTCCTGCACTTGGAGGGCTCGGGTGTTACCTGCACAGGCCTAGGGTGGGGCTCACTCCTGCCCCAGCTTGGCCTCCAGCGAGACGCGCCTGGTGAGCGGAGACCGTTCCTCGGAGCTGTGCTCTCTAACTGCCTGAGAACTGGTCTCTGCCCTGGTTGTGGGGTTCTGCAGCACCAGCAGGGCCGTGCCGGTGCCCTCCTGCCTCCAAGTCTCACAGTGGGGCACGTGACTAGTGCGTGCTAGAGAGTGCTTGTGAAATGTCCTTTGACAGGCAGAGTTAGACAGTGAGAGAGAGACAGACAGACAGAAAGGTCTTCCTTCTGTTGGTTTACCCCCCAAATGGCCGCTACGGCCGGCATGCTGCGCTGATCCAAAGCCAGGAGCCAGGTGCCTTCTCCCGGTTTCCCATGCAGGTGCAGGGCCCAAGCACCTGGGCCATCCTCTACTACCTTCCTGGGCCACAGCAGAGAGCTGGACTGGAAGAGGAGCAACCGGGACTAGAACCCAGGGTGCCGGTGCCACAGGCAGAGGTTAGCCTAGTGAGCCGCAGCGCCGGCTTGTGAAATGGTTTTTAAACCGAGTTTCTGTTGAACTTTGGCAGCAGGAGCAAATGTTAGAGTGGTCGTGTAGCCTGGCCCTGAAGGCAGGGTATTTGCTAGTGAGCCATTACTTGTTAAAATTCTTAAGTGGAGTTTTCAGCATAGAATTTTTTAAAGATTTATTTGAAAGGCAGAGATACAGAGGAGAGAGTGCATGAGATCTTCATCCACTGGTTCATTCCCCAGATGGCCGCAATAGCCAGGGCTGGGCCAGGCGCTTCTTCCAGGACTCCCATGTGGGTACAGGGGCCCAAGCACTTGGGCCATCTTCATCTGCTTTCCCAAGTATGTTAGCAGGGTGCAGGATCAGAAGTGTAGCAGCCGGGACATGGGATGCTGGCGCTGCAGGTAGCAGCTTTACCCACTATGGCAGCCCCCCAGCATAGAATTTTTAGAACCATCGAGGGTCAGTCTGTCTCCTGTTCCTGCCCCCCCCCTCGTTCCCCCACTGTGCAGCTGTCCCCTTGTTTATGAGCCAGGACTGCACCCGTCCTGAAAGTCCCCCATCCAGGCCCCTTTCTGGCCTGCCTCCGCCTTTGACCACCGTCTGGTGAGTGAGTTTCCCTCTCTGCTTAGTGCGTAGCCCAGCCTCACAGTCCCAGCTCCCATCACTGGTCTCCGGGCGAACCAAGTCAGCCTGTGCAAATTGGAACTTTTGTCAGAGGAAGGTGGCCAGATTTGACTAGGCCCCAAGATTATACTTCTTAAAAGATTTTCTATCTGCTGGTTCACTCCCAAAATGGCCTCAACAGCCAGCACTAGGCCAGGCTGAAGCCAGGAGCTTTGTCCGTGTCTCGCACATGGGTGGCAGGGGCCTGAACACCTGGGCCATCTTCTGCTGCTTTCCCAGGCCCTCAGCAGGGAGCTGGAACACCAGCAGGTACCCATGTGGGATGCTGGTGTCGCAGGTGGCGGCTGTGCCCCGCACGCCCAGCCCCTGAGGCTTCTTTCCTTGTTCAGTTGCTTTACCTGGTCCCTGATATCAGGCTGTTTGCTGTCACGTCCTAAAACGTGGGTGCAGGCCTACGCCAGTCTCCCGGCCCACACCTGGCTCCCAAACTGGACTTCTGCAGTCTGCGCACACCACCCAGAGGAGCAGAGCCACAGGGAGCCCTGACTCTTCGGAGCTCACGGTGTGTTTGGCACTTGTCTCCCCTCACTGCAGATTCTGCCTGATCAATGCGGGCGTCCTGTACCTCTACTTCAGCAACTACCTGCAGATCGACGAGGAAGAATACGGCGGCACGTGGGAGCTCACGAAAGAAGGGTTTATGACATCGTTTGCCTTGTTCATGGTACGTGTCACAGGTAGTTACCACAGGCACCGTTCGTTAGGAAGTGTCAGTTATTCGAAAGGAGTCCACTGGTTGGATCGTACGACCAGAGTGCCAGTTTTCACAGGCCTCTCTCGAGCCCAGGTGCCAGAGGGCACCTCGCAGTGTGCACATCCAGGGCCCACCCTCAGCTAAGGCTTCTCAACCCTGGCTACACAGGCTTGTACACTGGGAGCCTTCAAAAACACACTTCTGATACTCGCCTTAATAGCCGAAAAGTGCACGCACCCAGCTGCTGGGTGGATAAGGAAGTACTGCGGATGCCACGTGGACGGACTTTATGCCAAGTGGGAGAATCCAGACACAGGAGCCGGTGGTGTCTGGTTCCATTTGTGCGGAATGTCCAAAATAGGCAAATCCATAGACAAAAATGGAATTCGCAGTTGCCAGTGGCTGGGGGAGGGGGAGGCGTGGGAAGGAACCAGTAATATGGACAGACTTTCTGCTCTAGGTGTTTCAGGATCAGTGGTGATGTTTCTACAGCTGAGTAAACCAAACCCCAAAGCTCTGGCTTGTACACTCTGGAATAGAAATTCTGTTCCAAAGTTAACTTCTTAACAAATTAACTCTTTGAAGGGTGGTATCAGGGCATCTTTTCCAGCCGTGAGACCCTCTGACGGGATGGTGGGGTTTCCAGTTGCTGCTGACCCTACACCTGCCGGTCGTACAGTAGTCTGTACTTAGATCACTTCCACACTGGAGCTCTACTTGGACTTGGGGGCGCAGGTTGCCATTTGGCAGGGGTCTCTGGGAATACAGGGGACTCGCAAGCAGATTCTGCATCGGCTGCTCCTGGGGCTCGCCCGTGTGTACATTCTCACGTGGCATTGCTTGTGTGTGGAATCGGGCTGTGGGGACCCCGTTGGCTGTGACATTGTCCTGCTCTCCAGGTCATCTGGATCATCTTCTACACTGCCATCCACTATGACTGAGGCTGCACAGCTCCCACCTGCTCCCCGCCCCGTCCAGAGGACCCTCTCAGTTACAGCACAGAAGCATAATTGTTGGGCCACCCCAGCCACGTGGGACCTGGAAGACCGTGTTTCCTGGACCGAGAGTCAGTGTGTTGGGTGTCTCTTCTGCAAGGGTTGTGACCTGAGACTTTTTAAGGAACCATTCACCTTCGGGAAGCACTTGTGAGTGAGGCCGTCCCCGCCCATTCCTTCTGGACACGTCTGAGACAGCCGTTTGCCGGGTGGAGCCGCCGTTCAGCCCGCCGCACCCCGGATCTGGATGAAGCATCGTCGTCTGCCTCGGTCTCCCGTCAGCTGTACAGTTTTTAAACTATCAGTGGCGTTTCAAGTCTTCTGAAGTCAGTCGGGCAGTATGTGCGTGGTCCGTAGCGCAGTACAACAGCATCTAATAACAGTTTCCATTGTAGAATGTTTTCAGATACTTGAATAAATCAAATCTTTAATTAATGAGAACCTGTTGAGATGCCTGGTAACGCCTCTCCCGCCCTCTCCCGCCCTCCAGGTAGCCTCGGGACTCATGAGCAAGCCCTGGGAGCCACCGCCCTGCTTCCCCAGCAGCCAGGCCCCATCTGCACGCAGCAGGGAGTCGGGCTGGAGCTGGTGTGCGCTGTGGAGGGAGAGGCTCCCCCCCTCCGGGACGGCCTGCCCAGCGCTGCGGGTGGCTGCCCGGGCTGGACTCAAAGTGTCGTTTTTGCATTTGGCCACAAGATGGCAAGGCTGGGGTGACTGTGCGGCCAGATTTGAATGACAAACCACAGAAGGAAGTGGGGGTTGAGAGCTGGCACTGTGAAGGAGCTTGATGGGGGCCACGTGAGGATGGGGTCAGGTAGAGGCGGCAACCCAGGGTCTGCTGCCGGGGTAAAAGCCGTTGGGCCCTCAGTGTGCCTGCCTTCTGGGCCACAGCCAGGCCTGCTGGGGGCGGTGTCGGGGAGGGCTTGACCCGGGTTATATTTAGTTGGGGCTGGTGAACGGGCCTCGGCAAGCAGGGGCCAAAAGTGGAGCTGCCGACCCCAGGGGAAGCCACTCTGCTCGGACTCGGGTTGCCATGGAGGTGACGGCCCCGGAGGAGGTCGGCGGCTTCCCGAGGCCCACCCACCACGGAGCGGAGCGCAGGGCCTTACCTCTGGGGGCTCGGTCTGCTTGAGCTGGGTTCGAATTCTACGTGCTGCAGTCTGGGTTCCCCTTGCGCCCTCTGCTGTGGGCCTTGGCGTCGTCCAGGGAGCCGTCCGTCAGGCTCATGTAGGAGCTGAGGGACTCCCGGAGCCCCTCGCTCAGGAGAGACGCCTGGCCGGTGGCAGCCGACCCGTCAGAAAACAGGGCAGAGCTGTGTGAGACAGAGCCGGTCAGGGCGCCGCCGCCTCGTGGTCTCTGCTCCCCGTGCCTCCTGCCAGCAGGGGCAGAGGGTGCCCTGTCCCCCTCAGCCAAGGCCCTGGCCCTCAGGACTTCTTCCTGTCCAGGCTGCCCCTCCCTGGCCGCCTCGGGCCCACCCCGCCTTGCACGGTCCCAGGGGCAGGTCTTCATTCCTCCCTGTTTCCAGGAGGCCACCTACCTGTCCAGCTGGTCCCAGTTGAGGGGCGCCCTTTGCACAGTCACAGGGAGGGACCTGTCCCTGCCGGGGCGCGGGCCGGCGCTCTGCAGGGCACAGGGCTCCTTGAGGCGGCAGCAGATGTCGTCCGCCAGCTCTGAGGAAGAGACCCGGCGCCCTGATGTCGTGGCCCGGCCCTGCCTCAGCCCTGCATCCCTCCCTGGCTGCTTGCAGACGGGGGCCGGGGTACGCAGCACGGTCACGGGGTGACAGCGCAGAGGCCCGTCGGTTCCCGGGCCCCTTGATTCTGGTTAGGAAGGAGCCGCCTCCTGGGCGCCACCCCAGACACCCCGACCGGTGGTCCCGCGATGGGGCTCCCCCTCTCCGCGCCCCTCACACGTCCCTGCTGGCTGTCCCCTGATACCTGTGACAGGACAGGCACCCGGAAGTGCCAAGAAGAATTATGGTACGGAATTGCCACAGCAACAGCTCTGAGCTTGCCTCCCACAGAGAGCACTCAGCCTGCCTGAGGGGATTTGAAGCCAAACCGGCAGCGGCCGGGATCCGGCCTGGGCTCGCACCGCTGTTTTCTGGCCTCTCTGCCGGTCTGGGATGAAGGTGGGGCTCCCAGGCTGAGTCTCCTGGCCCAGGGACTGTCTGCAGTCTCCCTTGGGCAAGTTGGCTGCGGGCCCAACTGTCTGTCCCCCAGCCCCCAGGCAGGGCACGGCCCTACCTGAGTAGTGGTCCACCAGAGCCCGCAGCGAGGGGAAGGTGAGGCGCGGCGAGATGTACAGCCAGCCGTTGTCAAGGTGCTGGATCCTGTAGTGTCTGATCCGGTCCCAGGATGCAGGGCGACTGAGCCGGACTGACAGGGAGTAACAGCCTGGGGAGGAAGGGCCGGGGCAGTGAGGTCAAAGATGGGAGCCGTGGCCGTGGGGCCTGGACAGAAGAGACCGGCGCTGGGCAGAGGGAGGCCTCGCGAGGATGAGGTGCAGTCACAGCACGGCCCGTGGGCAGGGGCCAGCTCTCTGTGCACGAACAGGAAGTGGTGGCTGTCACTGAACACTGCGGGGCACCAGTGTCGGGGTGGGAAATGGGTTACGTGAGCCAGGCCGGGAGGAGCAGTGACTCCCTGCCGTGGGAAAGGGGAAACGAGCGCAGGCCGGTTTGGTGTGTGCAGCTAACCAGGCGGGGTGAGCTTGCACTGACGATGTAACCGCAGTCCCTCTCGGCACACCACCTTAGAGACGGCAGAAATACAGCGGCATCGCTTACACAGAGAGGGAGGAGGGAGGCCAGGGTGGGAAGCATCCCTGTGCTCTTCCATCTGTATGGGGGCTGGCACCGTGGCACAGCGGGTCAAAGCGCCGGCCTGCAGCGCCTGCCCCCGTGTGACAGACCCCGACTGGGCTCCCTGGCTTCCACCTGGCCCAGCTCTGGCTGTTGAGGGCATTGAGGGAATGAACCAGCAGATGGAAGCTCTCTCCAATATGTTTTTCTTTTTTAAATAATCATACAAAAATGTTTGGAACTCATGCATGTGTAGGGTTTTTTTCACAACATGAATTTTCATTAAGTTTTTTTTTTAAGATTTATTTATTTGAAAGGCAGAGTGACAGAGGAGAGGGAGGTCTTCCATCCACTGGTTCCCTCCCCAGTGGCTGAAACCCTGAGCCAGGAGCTCCATCTGGGTCTCCTCGCACTTGGACCAGCATCTGCCGCTGGTGTGTCAGCAGGAAGCTGGGCCAGAAGAGGAGCACTGGGACTCAAATCAGCACTTGGATATGGGATACGGGTGTCACGGGTGGCAGGTTAGCCCGCTGCACTACAACAGCAGCCCCTCCATGCAGTTTATTCTCGTATGTAAAGCAAACTGACAAAGAGATGGGCGCCGGAATTTTAAGGAAGTCCCAGCCTCCTTTTAGTAACCGACAGGACTGAAAAATCCAAAGAGAAAACTTGAATATCCTCAAACAGCTTGTCATAGAACACTGCACCCAAAAGCTGTAATACACGTTCTTTCAAATGCACATGGAATATTCAAGATACACTATAGATCATAAAAAGTTAAGGATTGTAGCTATTAAATGTATGTTCTGTGGGCCCAGGGCTGTGGCGCAGGGTAAGTCACCACTTACAATGCCAGCCTCCCATATGGCAGTGGCTGTTCCAGTCCCGACCACTCCAGGCCAGTGTGTCTGGGAAGGCAGCGGAAGATGGTGCCTACCACGCGTGGGGGAGACCCGGATGCTGCTCCTGGCTCCTGGTTGCAGCCTGGACCAGCCCCTGCCATTGTGGCCTTTTAGGAAGTGAACCCGCAGACAAATCTTTGTCTTCCTCTCAAATTTTTGCCTTTCAAATAAATCTTAAAGAAAAAAGGTTCTGTGACCTCAACAGAAATGTTAAAAATTAATAACCAGGGCCAGTGCTGTGGCGTAGCAGGTAAAGCTGCAACCTGCATCCCATATGGGTGCCGGTTCGAGTCCCAGCTGCTCCACTTCCGATCCAGCTCTCTGCTAATGGCCTGGGAAAGCAGTGGAAGATGGCCTAAGTCCTTGGGCCCCTGCACCCACGTGGGAGACCCGGAAGCAGCTCCTGGCTTCAGATTGGCTCAGCTTCAGCCATTGTGGCCAGTTGGGGAGGAAAAGATCAATAAAAGCAATAAGCCTCAAACTAGACTGACCACGGGAAAAAAGCCCTCACATATAAAAATTCCCTATACCAACGACGTGGAGGCAGGGGGCTAGAGATCCCACACTCAGGAGGGCAACAGGGAGGATGAGTGATCAGCATAGCAGTTAAAGGGCCGGCTTCGTATCACTTCAATTTTTTTAAATATTTATTTGAAAGAGTTACACAGAGAGAGAAGGAGAGGCAGAGAGAGAGAGAGGTCTTCCATCTGCTGGTTCACTCCCCAATTGGCCACAACAGCTGGAGCTGAGCCGACCCAAAGCCAGGAGCCTCTCCCAGGTCTCCCACATGGGTGCAGGTGCCCAAGGACTTGGGCCACCTTCTGCTTTCCCAAGCCATAGAAGAGCTGGGTTGGAAGTGGAGCAGCTGGGACTGAAAACGGCACCCATACGGGATGCAGGCACTGCAGGCGGCGGCTTTACCCGCAGGCCACAGCGCCGGCCCCTCTGTCCAGTTCTTGGCTCGGCTCCAGCTTCCTGCTATTGCAGACCCTGGGAAGCAGCAGTGATGGCTCAAGTGATGGTTTCTGCCATCTGTGTGGGAGAACCAGGTTGAATTCTTCGCTCCTGGGTTTCCCCCCGGCCCAGCCCCAACCACTGTGGGTACTTGGGAAGATCTCTATATATCATGCTGTCTCTACTTGTCTCTTTGCCTCTAAGTTTTTAATGAATTTATTTAAAGTCACTTAACTGGGGCATGTGCTGTGGCGTAGTAGGTTAAACCACCATTGCTGCGCCAGCATCCCATATGTGTGCTGGTTCGAGTCCTGGCTGCTCCTCTTCTGATCTAGCTTCCTGCTATTGTGCCTGGGAAAGCAGCAGAGGATGACCCAAGTCCTGGGGCCCCTGCAACCACATGGGAACCTGGAGGAGGCTCCTGGCTTTGGATTGGCCCAGCTCAGGCCATAGCAGCCATTTGGGGAGTGAACAAGTGGATGAAAGATCTCTCTGCTTTTGCCTCTCTGTAACTGCCTTTCAAAGAAAAAAAATTTTTTTGACAGGCAGAATGGACAGTGAGAGAGAGAGAAAGGTCTTCCTTTTTGCCGTTGGGTCACCCTCCAATGGCCACCACGGCCGGCACATCGCGCTGGTTTGAAGCCAGGAGCCAGGTGCCTCTCCTGGTCTCCCATGGGATGCAGGGCCCAAGCACTTGGGCCATCCTCCACTGTACTCCCTGGCCACAGCAGAGAGCTGGCCTGGAAGAGGGACAACCGGGACAGAATCCGGCGCCCCGACCGGGACTAGAACCTGGTGTGCCGGCGCTGCAAGGCGGAGGATTAGCCTAGTGAGCCGTGGGGCGCTGGCTTCAAAGAAATTTTTTTTAAATTACTTGGCCTTAAATGCATGAATTTATTTCTAGGCTCTCTTACATCTGGTAGTCTACTTTTCTTTTCTTCCTTTCCTTTTTAAAGATTTGTAAAGCAAAGTTAGAGGAAGGACACAGAGAATGAGAGATCGTCCATGCTCTGGTTCACTCACTAAACGGCACAACTGCAGTCACACGTTTCTCCCAGGTCTCCCATGTGGGTGCAGGGCCCCAGCACTCAGGCCATCTCCTGCTTTTCCCAAGTGCATTAGCAGAGAGCTGGATGTGAAGTGAACAGCCGGGTCTTGAACTAGAGCCCCCCATGGGATGCCAGTGTCACAGGCAACAGCTTAACATACTGATCACCATGTCCGTCCCATATTAAAAATGATAGAAGTGTGGGTCTCCCATATAGGAGACCTGGAAGGAGCTTCTGGCTCTTGGCTCTAGCCTGGCCCAACCCCAGCTGTTGTGGCCACCTGGGGAGTGAGCCAGCAGATGGAACATCTGTCTCTCCGCTCTTTGTAATTCTGATTTTCAAATAAATAAATTTCTTCTAAAAAAAAGTGAAAGAGACATATTATAAACTTTATTCCAGCTACTTCTACAAAGTTGAAGAAATTGACCAATTCCTTATGAAGATATAAATGATCCAAATTTCTACATGAACTAGAAAATACAAGTAGCCCTATAGCTATAGTGTGGTTGAGTTCATAATTTTAAAACTTCCCACAGGAAAACTCTGGGTCCAGAAGGCTTCCTATCAAACACTTAAAGACGACTTCCAGTTCTGCAGGAACTCTTAGAAAACAGGAGGGAACAGTTCTCAACTCACTGTATGAGGCCAGCGTTGCCTATATGTTAAAGCCAGACAAAAGCATTATAAGAAAACCATTAGCTCAGGTTCCTCACATATACAAAGACACAACAGTCCTTCAAGTTATAGCAAAAAAATTTTAAGGTTTAATATTATTTTATGTTTTAATCGGAGAGGCAGAGGGAGGGAGGGAGCGCAGCATGTGCACTCCTGGCCACTGGTTCCCTCCTCGAATGCTCACAACGTCCAGGAGCCAGGACCTCAACCCAGGTCTCCCACACGGTGGCAGGAACCAACGACTTGAGCCATCCCTGCCCCTCCCAAGGCCTGCATTACTCACTTCCTGGATTCAGGAGCAGAGCTGAGCATCGGGCACTCCTATTTGGGATGCAGGCATCCTACGTGGCCCCTTAATCGCCAGGCCCAATGGCAAAACCACACCTGAGAGTTACCAGACTGACCTGGGGACTGAACCAGTGGATGGGAGATCTTGCCACCCCCCCCCCTTTTTTTTAAGATTTATTTATTTGAAAGTCAGAGTTACAGAGAGAGAGGTCTTCTATCCACTGGTTCACTCCCCAATTGGCCGCAACAGCCAGAGCTGCGCTAATCTGAAGCCAAGAGCCAGGAGCTTCTTCCGGGTCTCCCACACGGATGCAGGGGCCTAAGGACTTGGGCCATCCTCCACTGCTTTCCCAGGCCATTAGCAGGGAGCTGGATCAGAAGTAAAGTAGCCGGGACTTGAACCGGTGCCCATATGGGATGGCGGCACTGCAGGCAGCGACTTTACCCACTGCGCCACAGCGCCGGCCCAGAGATCTTGCTCCTGATCCATCTCTCTGTGCCATATAATAAATATGTACACAGTAGATCTGTCTTTAATGAAAGACAGTGTGATTGTACTGGTCAAGCTCTATGGAATTTAGAGAAGGCACCTAAAACTAAGAAGTGAGTTTAAAAAGGTGACCCCAAATGTATACACTTGGAGAAGTATGGACTAGGGCCTCCACCGGCAGGGAGACGCACGACTCTGCTCCGCATCACCGCATCTTTAAAGGACCCCGGCTAGG